GTAATCTATTTTAGGACTTTCAATCACCCTAAATTTACTATCCACATTGGCAGTCACCTCACCCCAAACCTCCCTATCCCCTCTAATCTAAGGCAACCACTAATCTACCCTCTTTCTCTATAGATTTGCCTATTTTGGATATTTCATATAAATGGAATAAAAATGTGGTCTTTCATTCCTGGCTCCTTAGTGTAATGTTCTTGTGATTGAGTACCTCATCCCTTTTTATTCTCAAACAGTCCACTATGTGGATACACTACATTTTACCTATTCACCCTATTCACTCATCAGCTGAGGGACATTCAGGTTGTTTCTACTTTTTGCTTATGAATAATGCTGCTATAAACATTTGTGTACAAGGTTTGGTGTGGGCATGTTTTCATTTCTACTGGGTACATACCTAGGAGTGGAAATACTGGGTCATATGGTAACTGTTTAACATTTTGAGGAACTGCTGAACTGTTTTCCAAAGCAACTGCACCATTCTACATTTCCAGCAGCACCGTATGAGGGTTCCAACTTCTTTACTATTGTTTGAATCTTTACTACATACAGAACGAGAACGATCTCATTATATGATATCCTTGCCTTCAGGGAACTTATATTGACAGAATAAGACAAGAAATAAACAGAAACAAATAAACAGGTCAGTTTCAGATACTAAGAAAATGAAAAGAAAAAGTCATAAAGTAACCAGAAAGTAACCAAGGAAGAGGGATCTCAAGCTAAGGTGGTCAGAACAGATGTCTCTGAGAAGATAATGCTGACCTGAGATGTGCAGAGCTAGAGGGGGAATATTCCAGGCAAAGGAAAAAGGCAAGTAACAAAACTCCGAGACAAGTATAAGTTTGGCATGGCAAAAAGGAAGCCTTCGTAGCCAAGATACAATGAAGTGGTAGATAAGGTAGGACCTGAGGTTACGAGGGTAGGGTCCAGATTATGTTGGACCTCCGAGACCATGATAAGGTCTTCAGATTTTAGCTGAAATGCAGTAATTGTTTTAAAATCCCTTCTACTTCTTTAAATACCAGCGTTCATCTCGGCAAACATTTACTGAACTTTCATGTCTTTTTTTTTTTTTTTAAGAGACAAGGTCTTCGGGTCCTGCTCTGTCACCTGGAGTGTAGTGGCACCATCACAGCTCACTGCAGCCTTGAACTCCTGGGCTCAATGGAGCCTCCCACCTTAGGCTTGCAAGTAGCTAGGACTACAGGCATGTGGCATCACACCTGGCTAATTTTTTTACATTTTATTTTTGTAGAGACAGGCTCTTGTTATGTTGTCCACTATCCCCCCCTTTTTTTTTTTTTTTTTTTTTTTTTTTCCCTGAGGTGGAGTCTGGCTCTGTCTCCAAGGCTGGAGTGCAGTGGCATGATCCTGAGATCCTGGCTTACTGCAATCTCTGCCTCCAGGGCTCAAGCGATCTTCTCACCTCAGCCTCCTGAATAGCTGATACAGGTGCAGCGTGTGCCACGACGCCTGGCTAATTTTTGGTATTTTTGGTAGAGATGTGATTTCGCCATGTTGATCCGCCTGCCTCAGCCTCCCAAAGTGCTAGGATTACAGGCATGAGCCACCACACCCTGCCTCTTTCATATATCTTCTAATTACACCTAACAGTAGCAAATATTAAAGAGGTTATTTGGGTAAATCAACAGCACTCAGTGTCACTAATTTATGGCCCAAGAGAGAGCTCCTAAAATATGCCTGCCAATGGCACAATTGTAAGAATGAATCCTCACAAATTGATCACCTAGCCTTAACCAATTTAAAATACATGTCTTACTGACAGTAACGAGGAGCTGTCTTCGAATACCAAGTTCACTTTCAACAAAGCAAGACAGATCATTCTCATACTTTAAACCTAGATTTCATTCCTATAAAATGAATTCTAATTAACTGATTGCTTTTCTCCATTCTATTAATTACAAATTAATATTCAACTCCTAAACATAAAATCTACAGACACAAAACATTCTACGTTTCTTTATTGCTTGAATCTTTTAAAACAAGAATTTTTCACATGCCACTGCTATCTTTGGGTTTTCCAAGGGACAGAAATGGTTTAAAAATTTTTTGTGACATAAAATGTCACTCCTTGATAAAAGAACCTGTTACCTACTCAAAATTTTATCAAGTTAAAATTCCTTTCTACATTCCCAGCTTGATCTCCCATGGCCCTCCCTGCAGGCACTCTGTGCTCCTGCCAAACCGACTACTTGCCAGCCTCATACTTGTTCCCCCTACCTCAGCTTTATGATTCACATTCCCCAACAGGAGAAATCCAACCAGTTCTTCAAGGTCCACTCTCCCCTCTAGGTTTCTTCTCCAATTCTCTCCCTAGAGCAGAACCGATTCCTCACCTGTTACTCCAGTAGCACTTCTACAACTCAGACGTTGCCTTACCACATTCTATGTAACGCACAACTACACGAAAGATAAATCTGTGTTTTATACAGAGATGATCCAACTACTTCCTTTGTGTTTGCCCCCAGGTATACAGTACAACTATTTGCAATTACCGAGTGCACAGTTGAAAATAACATCCATTTTAGCACCATTTGGTACAATGTGGTAAACTCATGACAAAATGCAAGGTCAATGCCTGGCATGGTGGCTCACGCCTGTAATCCTAGCACCTAGCACTTTGAGAGGCCGAGGCAGGTGGATCACCTGAGGTCAGGGGTTTGAGACCAGCCTGGCCAACACCAACACGGTGAAACTCTGTCTCTACTCAAAATACAAAAATTAGCCATGTGTGGTGGCGGGTGCCTGTAGTCCCAGCTACTTGGGAGGCTGAGGCACAAGAATAGCTTGAATCTGGGAGGCGGAGGTTGCAGTGAGCTGAGATCATGCTCTTGGGTTATACAGAGGAGACTGTCTCAAAAAAAAAAAAAAAAAAAGGAGGTCAAACTTAAGGCCCTCTGGGACAATTAAGGAGAGCTTTATCCAAGTTAATCTTTCCTTCTTTCAACATTTCAACTACTGTATAATTTCTTTGTAACTGCTTATCTTAATGACACACTATACTTTATTTAAATGAAACTTTCCACTTCATTCTATTCAATCCTCAACAATTCTTTGTAAGCTCTAATTTTAAAATTTGTGAGTGATATGTGTTATCAAAAATGTATGGGCTCTAAAGCCGAGAACAGAGAAGCTTAAGTCTCAATCACAACAGCTAATTCACAGAAACAAATATTATTCCATTCAGTATTCCTATCACTAGCCCGAACATGAAGAAACCCAAACAATCAGTAAATCCAAAAAGCATCTGGTGGGCTTGTGGTAGCAAATACAAAATATTTGAATTAATGAAAGATATTTAAAATACTTAGGCTTTTTCTTTCTTTTTTTTTTTTACAGGTAAGCCTAACTAATCCTTAATCACGCAGATCACATTAACAAATTTACTGTGCAGTTAAAGCTACAAAATAGTCTGGGAACACACATACTAACAACCAAAACATCTGCTCTCAGTAATGGCACTGACTAGAAACTCATCTACAAGAGTCACTTTTTCCTTCTTCGTTTGTTCCCAGAGGCCTAATAGACTAAACATTATAGCTCACCCTATTTTCTAATTTCAGCTTGCATTTAAGATAACGCTTTTGTTTCATTTACAGCTCACATGAGGCTGACACAGCTGCCCCTTCTTTGTAATAAACACAGGGCTTCTATATTTAAAAATACAGTGAAACGTTGTTTTAACGTCCCCTCCCCAGTCTCCAGCTAATTTTCTCTTTCCCAAGCCCCATCTCCACCCCAAGATGTGTTGTTGTTGTTGTTGTTGTTGTTTTTAATCAAGTTTTTTTTTTTTAAATCAACGGCGCTCAAAATGTTAGACCCTTTAGAAAGTCGATTTACTTATTTAAAGCCATCTCATCATAGTGGTATTTTTCTTCTCCACAGCTTGTGGTGTTTATAAAGGGAAAGAAAAGATTCTCGTTCCCAAAGGCCTTTTTTCGAGGGTACTTTCCGTAACCGCGACCAGCACCCCTAATGTCAAGTTGGGACGCCCTCGCGGGCCGGCCTCGCGCTTGCACGGGCGCCGCGGGTGGAGACGCGAGCGCACACGCGGCGGAAAGGGGCGCCGGGCGGCTGCGCTGCCGGGAAAGCGCGCCCCCCGGGAGGGCGCGGAAAGCACAGTGTGTTCCGTGGGGCCTGGCAAATACCCTGTGGCCAGAGGACCACTAGAGGTATCGGCCAGGGCGCGGGCTCCGCGGCGCCCAGGGCAGGGGGCCAGCTCGTCCCGCATCGGAAGAGTCGCAAGGGCGGCCGAAGAGGGTGTGGGCCGGCGGGGGGGCGGCGCTGGGAGGAGATAACGCAAGGCCAGAGTTAATCATCACCTCCCGGGCGTCTGGAAAACTACGGGCCGGAGGGGCGGGGGAACAGCCCTGGGGAAAGTGAAACTCCCTCCGGGTCCACCAGCCCTGCGAGCCGGAGGCGGGAGGGAGAAGGACCCGGAGCGCATTCCCTTCTCCAGCAGGCACCGTGGGGCACTCGCCACTCCGAAAGCCACAGCCCAGCTCCTGGCGCCACTAACTACAGTAATGCTCATTTTCTACAAACTCACCCAGACAGGGGGACAAGAAAGGAACCAAAACACAAGATTTAAAAAGTGAGCCCTCCAAACCGATAGTTTAAAAAAAAGGAAAAAGAGAGAGAGAAAAAAAAAACAGCTTTCCCATACCGGGAGTCGAACCCGGGCCGCCTGGGTGAAAACCAGGAATCCTAACCGCTAGACCATATGGGAAGTGCTGCTGTAAGAAACTGCCTTGACCCACCTGACAAGCGTAAGCGCCTCTGCCTCCTTGGCCTCGGCTCGCCACCGCCGTCGCCGCCGCCGCCCACGCGCTCCCGGAGCTAGGGAACAAGCGCAGTCCGAGCGCGCGGGCGTCGCGGGGGAGAGGAGAGGAGGGGCGGGGCGCGGCCGCTCCGTCAGAGCAAAGTTTGAGGCGAAGCCTAGCGACTCGCGGCCCCGGACCCCGCAGTTTCACCTCTTTTTTTAAACTCCGCCAGAGGACCCTGACCCACAGGTCCCAGTTGCTCTGCTGGTCAAAGTGCCTGCGGACTAGTTGGCAAAGTTGAGAGCGGCGACTTCTCTGGGAACAGCTGTTTGCCTTCGGGGCGGAGGCGGCGCGCGAGCTCCTTGGCCTGGAGCCAGCGAGTCTAGAAGGAGGGTGGAGGTTCTGGGTCCCAGGGGAGGACACAGAGACGGCGGGATGGCGCAGGGGTTTGAGGCTTGAGATCCCGTCCTTCAGCTCAGGTCCCGTCGCGCTTTTGCCCCTTCCCGGTGACCTCAACTCCTTTATACCGACCCCACCTCTTTGGAGCCGGGAGTACCGCCCCTGTAGGGGGAGGGGAGAGGAGGCGATTTCGAACGCGGATTGGATCGTCTGGGCACCCGTAGTTGGGAACGGCGGAACGCTGGTCCCGGGGACTAAGGAAGGTGTCTGGGTAGGAGCGAGGTTCGGGTGGGCCTCGGGCGGCTGGATGAGCCCGACTCGTCCCGCTGAGAAAGCGCGAGTCTGAGTGGAACCCTGGACGACTTGCAGAGCGGCTGGCGCAGTCATGTGAGTTGGGTCTCAGGCCCTGAACAACGAGGTGTTGTTTCTCTGGGCGGCCTCTTCTCGCCCGGGTCTTCCCCTCCTCTCCTCCCTCCCTTCGGCCGGGGGCGTGACGGATGCGTTCTTAACTCGCTCGGGACCGGCCCCAGACCTGCATGGCCGGTTCTCAGGGCGGGGTAGAAATGTTACCCCGCCGAGCGCCCTGGGGTATGGGGCACGGGCTCTAGGGGGAGGCCGGCGGCCGGTTCAGGGGGCGGGTTGGACGGCCGCGGGTGAAGCGACGCAGTGCTCTCTCCACGACGCTGTCGGGGGTCGCAAGCGTCCCTTTGGGCTCCGAAGCCCCTGAACCCTAGGGTATTGTGAAACTGGGGCTGGGCTGCGGCCTCCCCCGCCCACTGGAAGCGGCCAGCCCTGGATAGCGTAATGATTTTTTTTTTGGTCGGCCGTCTACGAAGTCCCACGGCTTTTCCAATTCTCTCTTGCTTTGAGGCTCAAGAACAGTTTGTTTTAACTGATAGTCTCGGAGGAACTGCAGTCTTCCCCCAGAGTAGTCTTGTATGTTTTTCTTTTGGTGGGAGTAACTTGATTTAAGGCAAACTTTATGAGTTTCCTCACGTCTCCATTACATCAACCTCCCCCAAAGCCAGAAAGGACAAATGTTGTCTAAGATGTTCCTTAGTTTTTCATAACGATGACGGTAACAAGTGAGGAATTTTTGAAAGCCATCTTATTGAAGGGAGTTTTGTAGTGAATTAGGTACAGACTTTTCCTGCTCTGCTGGCAACAGAATTTCAATTGACTGCTCCAACCAGATAAACAATAAAAAACGGCTGTATATAACAATACAAGATTTAGTAGTAGGGGCATGTATTTCAAAATTTAAAAAATGTAAAGCATGCAAAATTTTACCTTTTTAAGTTTTACATGAGCTTAGCCTTGTTTTCTCCCTTTTTCAGGGCGGACTACTGGAAGTCACAGCCAAAGAAATTCTGTGATTACTGCAAGTGCTGGATAGCAGACAATAGGCCTGTATGATAATTCCGCTATTAGAGATTCTAATAATAATTGTGTTGAATGAAGTACTTTTTTGTGTAAACTCAGTTTACAAAGCACTTTTATGCACATTGCTCTTGCATTTTAAAAACATCCAAAGATTTCTGTTTTCTCAGTCCCCTATGAAAGCTGTGAGCCTTCTTCCTTTTCATCAACCTAACTTTGATTATGTATTAAGTGAAATTATTTCTCTGTGGCCTTTAGGGAAATGGGCAATGAGTAGGTCATCTTATTCATGTTTATGAAGCACCTACATTATAACGATAGTGTTCATAGTACTGTCATACACAAAGAATTGTGGAAAGCCTTTAAAATATAAAAGCAACATTTTAGTTTTTCTTGTTTATTTTCTGCTCTAGAAATAATCAAGTGTATTTAATGCAGAGTTGTATATCTTTAGATGCTTAAATTTGAAAGAACACCATTATTCCCTTTCTCATGAAACAAAGTAACAACTCTGTTAGGTATGTTGTTAGTCTATCTCATAGTTGAGATCCAGTGTTGAAGATGTAAAGCAAAAAGCACACCACTGATTTTTCTCCCCTCTTGCCTGTCAAAATACTATGTACCTACCACATAAACACTAAGGTATCTGTTAAATGTATTTTATGTTGATACCCTTTTTACTTGGCAAAGTTGGATGCACAAAGAATAGTAGTCTCATATTTTAATGCTGTGGATTTCTTCTGTAGACGTTTATTTACTGTTATCTGCAGGGTGTTTAGGATTTGGATTTTTTTTTGATGTTTTGGTCTTTTTGGATAGTTGCTAAAGTTCTTGACTCTTTTATTTTACCTGGGCTATCGTTATAAGTAAATACCATGAATTTTTAAAATCACACAAATCACTTAAAGTCTCTCTTTCTTGGAGGTACCTAGGCTGTAAAATGAATTTTGTGAATTATCTAGAGTAAGTAATCCCTTCCAGTGTAGGATTGGTAATACACATTAAATTGGTAATACACATTGATTTAACCTTTAATTAGTAACAAAGTTAATTTAATTTTGAATGGTCCTTTAATATTGTATTCTTTGTGTAGTGTAATCAACCTTAGGAAACGCAGTGTATGAAAAACAGGAGGATTATCTGCTTTACAAAGTCACACTTTAAAGATGAATTCACAGTAGTATTTTAGAATAGCTCAGTTAATGCATCATATAAGGTTGACTGACAGAACTTATTTTGCAGAGCTTGCCAGGAATTTCTTACTGCATTTAACTAGAAACTTGTAATTTAGGGAGCATTTCTGATTGTTTAAATAGATAATTGCGCTCACTCACCCGCCCCTGTCCCCAGTCATCCAGTTGCCATCACTCCCCATAGGTTATCATTTTTTTTTCATTTTCTTGCCTATCCTTCCATTGTTTCTACATGCATGTAGACACAAGTTCTTCTTCCAGCATACATAAAAGGTAATGTACTGTATATATTGTTCTGAACTATAGTTTTTAAAAATTGAACAGTATGTAACTGGAGCTCTCTTTGTATCTATACATGAAGAGCTTCTTTTTCTCTGTTACTGCAGCCTATGAGAATATACCATAGTTTAGCCAATCAGTCCCCTAGAGATGGATACTGTATTGTTATTGCAAACAGTGCTGCAGTCATTAAGCTTGTATATATCATGATTTTGTACATGTGCAGGTATATCTATAGAATAAATTACCAGAAATGAAATTGCTGTGTCAAAGGGTAAATGTATTTGTAGTCTTGATGTTGCCAAATTATCTTCCATAGAAGTTGTACATTTTGAACCATTACCACATTGTAGAAAAGCGTTTGTTTATAATTTAGGAGGAATCTTAAAATACGTACTTTACTCCTAATTTTGAGGAATAAAGCAATAAAATAATTGTTCTCTATGTCCCTCCTTACGACAAATAGAGCAATAAAATTCTAAAGGCTTTTGATGTTGAAAGTTGTTTAAAAATCTTTTGGCTTCATGTCGTGTTTGAGTCCTCATTACAATCATAGTCACTAGATTAGTCATCAAGGGTACCTTGTATTTTTCTCCATTAATAAGGTCGTCATGGTTTATTTTAAGAACCAAAGGAAACCTAGTCAGAGGACATAATAATAAAACAATGTCGTTCCCTAGCATCATTTGATTAAAAGGGCCAGTTTGCATTAAATTTATGTTTTCATCTTTTCTGCCATTCATTTTAATTTTAATTTTCTCATGTTTATGAGAAAATTGTTTATGTTTACTATGAATTTTATGATGTTTATGTAGTTTTCTTTTGTATTTTCTCTTTTTTCAAGAGTGTTGAATTTCATGAAAGAGGAAAGAATCATAAGGAAAATGTGGCAAAAAGGATCAGTGAGGTAATTTAGATTGTTTCTTTGCTAATTTTTCTATGCAAATGTCAGTCCTTTATCTCACTTTCACTGTTACGTATGTCTTACATAGATTAAACAGAAAAGCCTGGATAAGGCAAAGGAAGAAGAAAAGGCATCAAAGGAGTTTGCTGCAATGGAGGCAGCTGCCCTGAAAGCATACCAAGAGGATTTGAAAAGGCTTGGCTTAGAATCAGGTAAAAAAAAAAAAAAAAAGCAGCCAGCATGTTTTAAAAGTAACATCAGAGGTCATGCTAAGTAAGCTTTAATTGTTTCCATAAAGAGGTTATAAACTCAGTATACTCTCAGTGCTTTTATTATGCATCATGGCCCTGTTTAGACTATGGAAGTTTGTTCATGCCCTTTTGTTGTACTTTTAATGTTTTATCTTTTAACACCTTCATTCATAGCAGCCGTACTACTTTGGTAATCCTAGCTCTATCCTAGGTAAGTGGTTCATTTCAGAGACACTTTGAGGTTTTTAGGTATTCTAGTTATTTGGCTAAAAGACACTCTGCATTTAAAAAGAGGCCCTGCATTATAATTATAATTCACTGTGTCCATATGGTGAAAATTATGAGTCTTGTATATTTATATGGGTGATTATGTAATGAATTAACCTTTTGTGGACAATTTGCAGATTTTACTACTAGAAGGAAGTTCCAGGTGAAAGACATTATTTAACTAGACTGTGTCTATCTTGTCATTGAATTTAGGCTTTAAACTGGGAAGGTTTTGTGAATAATTCTTCCATATCAAATTGATTTTCCTTAAGCCAAGCATATAGCAGATCTCAGTTGATCTTATGTACTGGTTGCAGTCATCAACATGTGATGGTATTCCTCTAATAAAAACAGCTTTCAATTAAGGTTTTAAGCAGAGTACCAGTTAAGTTAATTGGCATTGTGTTCATTAAATAAGAACAGTTGTAGCCAGACTTTAAAAATGTTATCCTGGACATTGGTAATTAAAAGGTGGGAAAGTTGTTTGGTTCCTTGAGGATGAAGCCATATGTTCATTTTGAAAGGAAAAAGGATTTAGGCATTTCTGGAGAATTAGGAGTAGGTGAAAGTCCAACTATTATCAATCATATGCATTGAGAGATTCCATTATGCTGCCCTTTGAGCAAATAAATTTTACCATTTTATATTTAAATGGATTTTTCCTATTAAATATTATCATTGCCTTGTTTTTCCAAATAGGATATATATGCCTTTAAACATACAAAAATGCAGTACAAAGAAAAGAGATTTTGAAAACTCACTAACTGTTAAGACCTTTTGCAGACCTCTTCTTTTTTTTTTTTTTTTTGAGACAGAGTTTCGCTCTTTTTGCCCAGGCTGGAGTGCAATGGCGCGATCTCGGCTCACCGCAACCTCCGCCTCCCGGGTTCAAGCAATTCTCCTGCCTCAGCCTCCCTAGTAGCTGGGATTACAGGCACGTGCCACCACCCTGGCTAATTTTGTATTTTTAGTAGAGACGGGGTTTCTCCATGTTGGTCAGGCTGGTCTTGAACTCCCGACCTCAGGTGATCCACCTGCCTCGGCCTCCCAAAGTGCTGGGATTACAAGCGTGAGCCACCACGCCCGGCTGCAGACCTCTTCTTTAGATCTTTTTTTAAATTACATATTTTGTGCTGTGGTCTATTTGCCGGTTTTATTTTTTCTCTCAATGATATATCAAATGTATCTTTTCTTTTAAATAATTAGGGAGATAATATCATTTTTATATGGTAGTTAGGAGCAGACTTTGGAGTCAAACAATTTCCTCTTGCTAGTTATAATTTTAGATTATTAAAACTAAGTGACATTATGGTATAAATTGCTTATTATGTGACCACACATAACAAATGTTGAATAAATGGTAGCCACTGTTATTTTGTCTCTGTACTATAATTTATTTAATGTTTTCCTGGTTAACATTTAGGTTGCTTAGCGGTTTTCACTAAGATGCATTAAGCATCTTTATGCATGTATCTTTTTACACTTATTTGTCTCTGTAGATTCAGTTTCTAGAAGTTACATTACAGTATCAAAGTGTAAATATATTTTATATTGATAGTTAATACCACATTGTCTCCAGAAATAGACTGATTTACATTTTCACTAGAACAAAAATAAGTTTATTAACCCGTTTTAGGAGTAACTAGCCAATCCTTTGGAAAGTAAAGACATTGAAAACTATTTTTCTCTCTTTTTTTTTGAAGACAGGTCTCGCTCTGTCACCTGGCTGGAGTGCAGTGGCACAATCATGGCTCACTGTAGCCTTGACCTCCCCGGCTTCAGTGGTCCTTCCACCTCAGCTCGCCACCAGTCCCAGCTATTTTTTGGTGGAGACAGGGTCTTGCCATGTTGCTCAGGCTGATCTGGAACTCCTGGCCTCAAGCAATCCACCTGCCTGGGCTTCCCAAAGTGCTGGGATTACAAGTATGATCCACCGTCCCCCACCAAAACTACCCATTTTTTCAAACCAATGTAAATACCTGATCCATCAAACTAATGCTGGATTTGGTCATTCTTTTCAGTACTTACCGATCTCCTGCAAAACAACAGAAAAACATTTCTTTGAATATTAGCAAAAGTAAATGTTAATTGGCTGGGTGCTGTGGCTCATGCCTGTAATCCCAGCAGTTTAGGAGGCCAGAGTGGGAGGATTGCTTGAGCCCAGGAGTTCAAGACCAACCTAGCAAGATGGTGAGACCCCACCTCTGCTACGATATAAAAATAAAAAATTAACTGGGTGTGGTGGTACGCACCTGTGGTCCCAGCTACTTGGGATGCTAAAGTGGGAGGATTGCTTGAGCTGAGGAGTTCAAGGCTACTATAGTGGGCTTTGATTGCACCACTGCACTCCAGCCTGGACAACATAAGAAAAAAAAAAAAGTAAAAGTTATATGAATTGTCTTTGTAATTGTTGTCCATTTTTCTATTAGAATGTTTGATTCATAAAGGATCTTTGTTAGGAATATTAACCCCTTGCTATATTTATTGTAAATATTTTTTCATTTGTTTTATATTTTTTTTATTTTTGTCATACAGAATATCTTAATTTTTATGTAGTCAAATTTAACATTATTTTACTTTGTGTTCTTTTTGTAACTATCTTTGACCTAGTATTTAATAAAAAAGGGGGAAGAGAGCAGGGAGTGGGAAACAGCTTTGCTTTTTTCCCAAATAATTAACCAGTTAATCTAAAAACTTTCTTTTTAAACATGCTTTCTTTATTTCCATTTTTATTGTTTTATTTTTATAGATTTAGGGGGAACAAGTGCAGATTTCTCATATGCATATATTGCATAGTGATGGAATCTGGACTTTTAGTATACCCATCGCCCGAATAGTGAACATTCTACCCAATAGGTAATTTGAAAACCTCTTTTTTTAATGATCTGTCTTTTATCCTCTTGATATGAAATACCAGCCAACCTGAAGTTGGCCCTGTATCTGGACTATTCTGTTTCAATTATGTACTTGCCTATTTCTATGTCAGTTCCACACTGCTGGCTGTATTTTTAACCCATAGTTTTAGAATAAGTTTTAATAGCTGGTAGAACTAAATTCTCCTTTTTCTTTTTATTACAATTTTCCTGCCCTTACATGTTTATTTTTCCGAATGAACTTTATAATAATGTGTCAAGTTCTCAAAAGAATCGTAGGTTTTTGATTGAAATAACGTTAATGTTTTATGCCAACAACAATAAAAAATAGTAGTTAACTATGGCTGCTTTACCCTTCTCTCATCTCTTTAGAAATTTTGGAGCCAAGCATAACACCAGTAACCAGCACTATCCCACCCACCTCTACATCAAATCAACAGAAAGAAAAGAAAGAAAAGAAAAGAAAAAAAGATCCTTCAAAGGGCAGATGGGTAGAAGGCATAACCTCTGAGGGTTACCACTACTATTATGATCTTATCTCAGGAGGTAAGTCATTTAGGCATAAAACTGGTAAAGAACAGTGTCACTAGTAGAATAGAACAATTTATTTTATGTTAGGATTTGTATCTAATATTAGAACATTTTTCATTTTTGCCCCAAAGGTAAGAAAATTATGTGCCCTTTAAAAAGGTACCTTTCTCATAGTGACTAAGTGTCATACTTAGTCAAAGCCTTTAATAATGACTTTCTTACAAATAAACTATAGCTTTATATTTTCTCAGTAGTAACTTCTGTAAGTATAAACTACATGGAAATAAAGAATTTTGCGTAGAAATAAGGAATCTGAAATCCACTTCACAAATTGTAGGGGTACTTGAAATAAAATATTCTACAGTAGAGATTTTGTTTTGGGAGCCAGTAACTGATTTCTTTTTTGTGTAGCTGCCTTGATTGATTTGATATTATTACTGAAAAATGGCATTGTGTATTTTACTGGAAACTGATACCCAACAGAAAAATACACAGTGCCAAGGCCAGGTGTGGTGACTCATGCCTGTGATCCTAGCACTTTGTGGGGCCAAGGCGGGTGGATCACTTGAGGTCAGGAGTTCAAGACCAGCCTGACCAACATGGTGAAACCCCGTCTCTACTAAAAATACAAAATTAGGCCAGGCGCAGTGGCTCACACCTGTAATCCCAGCACTTTGGGAGGCTGAGACGGGCAGATCACGAGGTCAGGAGATCGAGACCATCCTAGCTAACGTGGTGAAACCCTATCTCTACTAAAGATACAAAAACTTAGCCGGGCGTGGTGGCGGGTGCCTGTAGTCCCACCTACATGGGAGACTGAGGCAGGAGAATGGTGTGAACCCGGGAGGCGGAGCTTGCACTGAGCTGAGATTGGGCCACTGAACCCAGGAGGCGGAGCTTGCAGTGAGCGGAGATTGGGCCACTGTACTCCATCCACAGAGCAAGACTCCCTCTCAAAAAAAAAAAAAAATTAGCCGAGCGTGATGGTGCATGCCTGTAATCCCAGATATTTGGGAGGCTGAGGGAGGAGAATCGATTGAACCCAGGAGGTGGAGGTTGCAGTGAGCCGAGATCACACCATTTCACTCCTGTCTGGGCAACAAGAGCGAAAGTCCATCTCAAGAAAAAAAGAAAGAAAAGAAAAAAAATACACACAGTGTCATTTTACAGTAACAATATCAAAAGCATCTTTTTGTTTTTCCTAAAAACTAAATGTATTTAGGGTTTTTACTCCATATATATTTTGGAATAAATTAATACACTTATTCTACATTTATGTAGCATCTTACTCTCCAGAGTCATAAAATTTAGTGACAGAAACAAGCTTGATACAAGGAGGAATTTTAAAGTGCTGTAATAGAAGTGTAATTAAGATTATATGGGAACTCATAATAATGTTGAATTCATTGTGATTATGTAGCTTTGAGAGATTATCATAGGAGTTACTTTAGAGCTGATCTCTAAATTAAGATAAGGACGTCAGGAATGATGCCTTACTCACCATTTTATCCCTAGCACCTAACTTAGTGCCTGGCATAGTGCAGACACTCTGTTTTGATTAAAGAAGACTTCAATAGATTATTCAGAGGTACAGAATCCAGACAGAACAATATGAACCGCCAAAAAGGTTTGAAAGTACTAGGAAATAGTGGTCGAGGTAAAACATGCAGTTGTTTGAAGACATCTTAGTAGAGTTAGACTGGAAGGTAAACTGGGGCCATATTATGGAGGGCTGAGAGAATGATGGCGCCATTTACTTAGATGTGAGATACAGGAACCAAAAATAAGTTTAATGGGGACAATAATGAATTAGATATGTTGGATATGTTGAATTTGAGGTACCTACAGAATATTCATATGACAACTTTTGGTAGCTGATTGATGGTTACAGTGTGGAGTTGAGCAAAATTGAGTCTGGGGATGTAGATAATATGTTAACCTTTAGGAGTATATGAGATCACAAGCAGAGAGAATAGAGCAAGAAATAAAGAAGGTGAGTGTTACATATGTTAAAGGAATGGATAGAAGAAAAGCCAGCAAAAGAAGGTTAAGAATGCTAGGAAGGTAGGAAATAAGATCAGAGAGTTAATCATGAAGAAATCCTTGGGCTAACAATCTTACTGTAATGACTATTATCATTAGGATCATAATTACCTTTGGACTATGTAGAAATATTAATCTGTTAGAGTTTGCACTGAGCTTTAAGTGACATGCATATTGTAGTTTAGCAATGAAGATACCATAAATGATGATGTACTAGCTATTAGAAGTCTTTGTCAAATTCCCTTAGAAACTATTCTTTCTTTTCTCCCTTCAATGTTTATTGCTTGCTTCTTTTTTTCAAATGCTACTTTATATTCTCTTCCTCTCCATGATACATGTTTTTAATTTCTGCATACTAGTTGTTCCTCTTCTGAGTCCTTACTCAATTTATCTCTTAATCTCCCTTGCCCCAAGATATCAAAAGGCCTTTGAAACTTATGAAACCTGAATTCTATGAAACCTTTATGAGAAGCCCTGCCTGGCTCTAAAATTCCTGTGGAAGTTCCAGTAACTTCTAATCCCTTGTTCTGTCCTTTCTTCTTGGTTACATAGCATTCACATAGATTCTCTGTACTGGGGTGTATGTTCTGTTTTATTTTTCAAATATGTTTTAAACTGTAGACCTGTAGTGTTTTGTACATAATGACTGTAAGTTTTGTCCAAATTTTTTGGAAAGTATTTTTTTAAAGCAAAAACATTTTATAAATGCAATATATTTTGCTTTAAGCATCTCAGTGGGAGAAACCTGAAGGATTTCAAGGAAACTTAAAAAAGGTAACTGAAGCATATTAATAGTGTTTTTGTTTTATTCTTTAAAGTGATTGGTTTCTTGGGGTTTTGTAGAGGTTTGTTAAAGCAACTTTACTTACAGATACTCCACTCCCTCCACCCCGAAACTGTGTCCTTTTTTTTTCCCATAATGCTTTTGTTAGAAGGTTGAATGGAGATGAAATAGTGGTATCTGGCCGGGCGCAGTGGCTCACACCTGTAATCCCAGCACTTTGGGAGGCTGAGGCGGGTGGATCACGAGGTCAGGAGTTAAAGATCAGCCTGGCCAAGATGGTGAAACCCCATCTCTACTAAAAACTACAAAAAAATTAGCCAGGCGGGGTGGCAGGTGCCTGTCATCCCAGCTACTCAGAAGGCTGAGGCAGGGGAATCGGTTGGACCCGGGGTGGCAGAGGTTACAGTGAGCCGAGATCGCACCACTGCACGCCAGCCTGGATAACAAAGTAAGACTCTGCCTCAAAAAAAAAAAAAAAGTACTGATATCTATCCAAAAACAGCATTCAGGGCAAATATTAGTTGGTTTGCAGTCAGTTGCCATTCACATGTCACTGTCCATTTGGAAAGAACTGTTCCTGGCTTTCAAAGGTGAGACATTCACTCCTTGAAAGTTGGTTCATTATTAGCAAAAACCAAGCTTCCTGGCCATGATTAGTACTACCACCCCTAATACCCAGGTATATTAGTCAGTTCTTGCATTGCTATAAAGAAATACTTCTGAAACTAGGTAATTTATCAAGAAAAGAGGTTTAATTGACTCACAGTTAAACGCAGGCTATACAGGAGGCTTGGTGGCATAAGCTTCTGCAGAGGCTTCAGGAAACTTAAAATCATAGCAGAAGGCTAAGGGAAAACAGTCACATCTTACGTGGCCAGACCAAGGGAGCAAGGGGTTAGCCGGGAGGTGCCACACACTTTTCAATGACCAGATCTCAGGGGAACTTGCTCACTATTTCGACAGCAGCACCAAAGGTGGATGGTGTTGAAACCATGAGAAACCACCCCTGTGATGCAGTCATCTCCCACAAGGCCCCATCTCCAACATGGAGGATTACAATTCTATATGCGATTTGGGTGGGGATGCAGATCAAGATAACACCAGGTGTCAGGAGGAGAGGCAAGGGTGGCTGACTCTGTCTGAGTTATTCAATAGAAATTCATCATAGTTATCCTCAGTTTATGCTGGGTTTTTTCCTCCTATTAGACAGCAGTGAAGACCGTTTGGGTAGAAGGTTTAAGTGAAGATGGTTTTACCTATTATTATAATACAGAAACAGGAGGTAAGTATTACCTTTGATTATCTTAAGTATTTAAAATTGTACGTGCAACTGCTTATTGGCCTGCTGGTTAATCATCTGAACTTGGAAATTTTAGTATATGATAAACATATTTGTATAGCAAACATGAGTTATTTTTTGTAAATTAAAAACAATACAGTAGAAAAGCAAAAAGATTTCTATTCATGTTGTATTGTGCTGTTCACCAATGTTATTCTCAGTTGATACTGCATTCACAAACTTAAAAATAGAATCATTTTAGCTTTCTCTGATATTACTATTTTTATAATTATTTTAGAAATACAGTCATTACAGCTGGGTGCGGTGGCTCAAGCCTGTAATCCCAGCACTTTGGGAAGCCGAGACAAGCGGATCACGAGGTCAGGAGATTGAGACCATCCTGGCGAACCCGGGAAACCCCGTCTCTACTAAAAAAAAAAAAACAAAAACTAGCCGGGCGCAGTGGCGGCGCCTGTCGTCCCAGATACTTGGGAGGCTGAGGCAGGAGAATGACGTGAACCCGGGAGGCAGAGCTTGCAGTGAGCCGAGATCGCGCCACTGCACTCCAGCCGGGGGACAAAGGGAGACTCTGTCTCAAAAAAAAAAAAAAAAAATTACAGTCATTACCTTGGAAAGTAGCTTAGAGATCATCTAGCCCAACTTGCCTTTTCCTTTTAAAAAATAAAACTGGGGCTGGGCACAGTGGCGCATGCCTGTAATCCCAGCACTTTGGGAGGCTGAGACAGGTGGATCACCTGAGGTCAGGAGTTAAGCAACCAGCCTGACTAACATGGTGAGACCCCGTCTCTATTAAATACAAAGAAATTAGCCGGGTGTGGTGGCGCATACCTGTAATCTGAGCTACTTGGGAGGCTGAGACAGGAGAATCTTGTACCTGGGAAGTGGAGGTTGCAGTGAGCCGAGATCGCACCATTGTACTCCAGCCTGGGCAACAAGAGCAAAACTCTATCTCAAAAACAAACAAAAAAGTAGGCAGGGTGCAGTGACTCACGCCTATAAGCCCAGCACTTTGGAAGGCCAAGGCGGGCGGATCACCTGAGGTCAGGAGTTCGAGACTAGCCTGACCAACATGGTGAAACCCCTTCTCTAGTAAAAAATTACCCAGGCATGGTGGTGGGCACCTGTAGTCCCAGCTACTTGGGAGGCTGAGGCAGAGAATTGCTTGAACCCAGGAGGCAGAGGTTGCAGTGAGCCAAGATTGCACCACTGCACTCCAGCTTGGGTGACAGAGCAAGACTGTCTCAAAATAAAATAAAAAATAAAACAATCTATTTAGTAGTGTCTAACAAATTAGTAAAAGTGAAAATTTAAAAATGTGTCAGTTGCATAAATACTTATGAAGCATGCATAAATACTAATTGTTATCTAAAACTTTAAAATTAATGTTTCATCTAATTTAACATAAACTGCTATAACATTAATGTGACTTTAGGAGAGGTTTGTTTTTGTTTTTTTAATTCTGTTATCATTAGCTCATTGCATAGCATTAAATCTTTTAGGAAGAAAAGGCCCTTTTAACCTCCAAGTAGATATTTAACCTGCCCAGTTACAGCAATGTTTATATTCCAGTACAATTGAAGGTTGGGATTTTTATACATATAAAATAGTATAGTGATATAATGTAGCTTTAGAGTTAGACAGATCTGAGTTCAATGCACAGCTTCTTTCCTTACCAGTGATGTGACTGTGGGCAAGTCACTGAGCCTATAGTCACTCTTCAGTGAAATAGAATAAACATATGTGCTCTGTAAGGTCATGAATGTCGTATGTCATAAAATTCCAATAACAGTGCTTGGCACACAGTAGGTGCTTAATTACTTGTTGAACTGGCGCGGCAGCTCACACTTGTAGTCCCAGACCTTTGGGAAGTCGAGGCAGGCAGATCAGTTGAGGTCAGGAACTCACGACCAGCCTGGGCAACATGGTGAAATCCCATCTCTACTAAAAATACAAAAATTAGTTGGGCATGGTGGCACTTGCGTGTGATCCCAGCTACTCAGGAGGCTGAAGCAGGAGAATCGCTTGAATCTTGGAGGTGGAGGTTGCACTGAACGGAGATCACGCCAAGTAAATAAGTAAAAATAAAATAATTTCTTGAAAGTCATATTGTTACTTGTGTGAAATGTGGATAAGGAAAAGTAATGTTTTTCATTAACCCTGCCAAGAACTCTGTATTAATTAAGGTACCATATATATTGATTTGCCTTGAATAATTACAGTTTATTCCTGGACCAGAATAATTATTAACGGCAGCCCCTTTCACTCTTAAGACTCTCCCAGTTGAAAATAGGTAATTAATTACGAGGTAATTAGAAATATTACTGTTTGCTAAAAACCCAATGAACCACTGGATGGCAGTAGAGTTAGTCAATTGAGATTCCCACTGCTGCCCCCCCCACCACCAAACCACCATATAAAAATGAGAACTTAATACTCAGTGCTTCACAATATAATTTCACTTGATGAAAATCTTAGGAATTTTTTTTTTTTTTAATTGAGACAGGGTCTTGCTCTGTAGCCCAGGCTGGAGTGCAGTGACATGATCATGATTCACTGCAGCCTCTATTTCCTGGGCTCAAGCAGTCTTCCCACCTCAGCCTCCTGAGTAGCGGGGACTGCAGGAACATGGCATGATGCCTGCTAACTTTTTAATTTTTTTTAGAGACAGGGTCTTGCTATGTTGCCCAGGCTGGTCTCAAACTTCTGGGTTCAAGCAATCCTCCTACCTCGCCTTTTCAAAGTGTTGGGATTACAGGCATAAGCCACCACACTGGGGCCAGGAAAAGAAATCACTGTGATAAGTTTCAGGAAATCTCTTGTTTGCTCATTATCAGTATGTTTCCTGAAATTGGTGTCAGATAAATTGTGAACCGTTAGAAATCTCACCCCGTTCTTAGGTCTCTCATTCCATTGGAGTTATAGTTTATACATCTAGTAAATCCAGGCTGTTTGAAGTCAATTTCTGAAAGATACAAGAGCAAGAGGTTTGGGAACTCTATTATCTTCTTGATCAAGAGATAATATGAAATTAACATACAGTATTGTCATTTAATAGTGTAAGTGATAGAGGTTATGTTGAAATTACATCTGAATAGAATTAATAACTAAATAACCTGACTTTAAAATGTGTTGAACAGAATCCAGATGGGAGAAACCTGATGATTTCATTCCACACACTAGTGATCTGATTTCTAGTAAGGTCAATGAAAATTCACTTGGCACCCTAGATGAATCCAAATCATCAGATTCACATAGTGATTCTGATGGGGAACAGGAAGCAGAAGAAGGAGAGGTCTCTACAGAGACGCAGAAACCAAAAATAAAGTTTAAGGTAGGTTTTTTATTTTTACTCTTCACATCAAATTTTTTTTTTTTTTTTTTTTGAGATGGAGTCTTGCTCTGTCGCCCAGGCTGGAGTATCTCTGCTCACTGCAACCTCCACCTCCCGGGTTCAAGTGATTCTCCTGCCTCAGCCTCCCGAGTAGCTGGGACTACAGGTGCGTGCCACCACACCCAGCTAATTTTTTGTATTGTTAGTAGAGACAAGGTTTCACCGTGTTAATAACCAGGATGGTCTCAATCTCCTGACCTCATGATCTACTCACCTCAGCCTCCCAAAGTGCTGGGATTACAGGCGTGAGCCACCACACCCAGCTGATACCAATTTTTGAAAAGCTCTACAGACCTTAAGTCTTCTGATAGAACATAGAAATTAAGACATATTTTGGCAAGTGGATAAATAAAACTGGAAACAGGAGCCCATGAGTCAAAGCAGAGAAGACACATTATTAGCATTGAGCAATGGTTGCAATTGTTGGCCTGAGAAATGTAGGAAAATTGAAAAGTTCCTACATACCTAAGCTACACCTAGGATCTTGTCATTGCCTACAGTTTCTCTACCAACTTCACAAATCTTGATGGAACTTAGAGTAAGGGTTATGTCCAGTTTACAGAGGAGCAGCAGCAAAGCCTTCGTTGTAGTTGCCATCTCACAATGATTATAGCCAGCCAGATTTAGGTAATCTGGTATCCAACTTAGGATAGAAATAATTAATTTCTGTCATCAAAATTAATGTATTCCAACAACAACAACAACAAAAAATACAGAACCCTGCTGAACATAGATGCAAAAATCTTCAGCAAAATATTGGCAAAGTGAATCTAACAGTACATCAGAAAGATTAATACACCATGATAAAGGGATGCTTTATTCCAGGGATGAAAGGATGGTTCAAAGTATGCAAATCAATAAATGTGATTTACCATATAAACAGAATTAAAAATAACCATATAATCAGCTCAATAGATAAAAAGCATTTATTAAAATTCAGCATCCTTTCATGATAAAAACCTTCAGCAAACTAGGCACAGAAGGAACATACCTTATAATAATTAAATAATAAAAGCCATATATGAGGCCAGACACTGTGGCTTATGCCTGTAACCCCAGCACTTTGGGAGGCTGAGGCAGGAGAATCGATTGAATCTGGGAGGCGGAGTTTGCAGTAAGCTGAGATTGTGCCACTACACTCCATCCTGGGTGACAGACCGAGACTCTGTCTCAAAAAAAAAAAAAAGCTGTATATGATAAACACACAGCCAATGTTATACTGAATGGGGAAGCATTGAAAGTATTATTCTTAAGAACTGAAACAAAGCAAGGATGCTCACTTTAACCACTGCTTTTCGACATAATATTGGAAGTCCTAACCTGAGCAGTCACGCAAGAGAAAGAAAGAAAAGGCATCCAAATTGGGAAAGAGGAAGTCAGACTGTCTCTGTTTGCTGATTAAATGATCTTAGTACCTAGAAAACCCTAAAGAGCTCTCCAGAACACACCTGGATTTGGTAAGTGACTTCAGTCATGTTTCAGGATACAAAATCACTGTACAAAAATCAGTAGCATTTGTATATACCTGTATCTATACAATAATGGTAAAACTGAGAACCAAATAAAAAACTCAGTCCCATTTGTGATAACTACAAAAAGAAAAAAAATCTAAAAATCTAGGAATACATTTAACCAAGGAAGTGAAAGATCACTACAAAGTGAACTACAAAACACTGATTGAAGAAATCGTAGATGATACACACAAATGAAAAAATACCTCATGCTTATGGGTTGGAAGAATCAATATCACTAAAATTACATACTGGCCAAACCAATCTATAGATTCAACACAATCCCTATCAAGTTACCAACTTCATTTTTCACAGAATTAGAAAAGCCAATTCTAAAATTCATGTGGAACCAAAAAAGAGTCTCAATAACCATAGCAGTCCTAAGCAAAAAGAACAAAGGTGGAGGCATCACATTACTAGACCTCAGACTATACTCCAAGACTTTCGTAACCAAAACGGCACAGTACTGGTATAAAGATAGACACAGATTGATGGAACAGAATAGAGAACCTGAAATAAAGCCACATACCTACAACCAGCTGATCTTCAACAAAGTCAACAAAAATATACACTGGGGAAGGGATACCCCATTCAATAAATGATGCCGGGAAAACTGGCCAGTCATATGCAGAAGAATGAAACAGGACCCCTACCTCTCACCATGTACGAAAGTTAAGATGGATTAAAGACTTAAATGTTTAAAGATCTGAAACTATAAAAACCCTAGAAGGAGGCCAGGCATGGTGGCTCACGCCTGTAATCCCAGCACTTCGAGAGGCTGAGGTGAGCAGATAACCTGAGGTCGAGAGTTCAAGACCAGCCTGACCAACATGGAAAAACCCCATCTCTACTAAAAATAGAAAATTAGCTGGGCATCCTGGCACATGCCTGTAATCCCAGCTACTCGAGAGGCTGAGTCAGGAGAATCGCTTGAACCCAGGAGGTGGAGGTTGCAGTGAGCTAAGATCGCGCCATTGCACTCCATCCTGGGCAACAAGAGTGAAACTCTGTCTCAAAAAAAAAAAAAAATTCTAGAAGGAAATCTAGGAAAAACTAATCTGGTCATTGCCCTAAGCAAAGAATTTATGACAAAAGTCTTCAAAAGTAAACACAAAAACAAAAATAGACAAATGGGAGGGAATTAAATTAAAAAGCTTATGCACAGCAAAAGAAACAATTAACAGAGTAAATAAATAGCCCACATATTGGGAAAAACTATTTGCAAACTATGCATCCAATGGACTAATATCCAGAATCCGCAAGGGACTCAACAAGAAAAAAACTCCATTGAAAAGGGGGAAAAGGACATGAACAGGCATTTTTCAAAAGACACACAGATGGCCAAAACACGTGAATAATGCTCAATATCACTGATCGTCAGAGAAATGCAAATGAAAATCACAATGAGATACCATCTTATACCAGTCAGAAGGCTGTAATCAAAAAGTCAGAAAATGTCTGGATGCAGTGGCTCATGCCTGTAATCCCAACACTTTGGGAGGCTGAGGCTGTCAGATCATTTGAGATCAGGAGTTCAAGACCAGCCTAATCAACATGGTGAAATTTCTTTTACTAAAAATGCAAAAGAAATTAGCCGAGTGTGGTGGCGCATGCCAGGAGAATTGCTTGAACCTGGGAGGCGGAGGTTGCAGTAAGCCAAGATCATGCCATTGCACTCCAGCCTGGGTGACAGAGCGAGACTCCATCTCAAAAAAAAAAAAAAAAAAAAATTAAGAAAACAGATACTGGCAAGGATGCAGAGAAAGGGAAACACTTATACACTGTTACTGGGAATGTATGTTAGTATAACCTTTATAGAAAACATTTCTCAGAGAACTAGAAGCAGAACTGTTATTCAATCCAGCAGTCCCACTTCTGAGTATCTACCCAGAGGAAAAGAAATCATTAAATAAAAAAAGACACCTGCACTCATGTTTGTAGCAGCATTGTTCACAATAGCAAAATGTTGAAATCTATGTAAGTGTCCATCAGTGGAGAATTGGATAAAAAAATGTTGTGTGTGTATATATATATACACACACACACAAACACACACACCATGGAATACTACTCAGCCATAAAAAATGAAATGATAGCTTTTGCAGCTATATGAATGGAACTGGAGGCCATTAATCTAAGTGAAATAACTGAAAGTCAAATACCACATGTTCTCACTTACAAGTGGGAGCTAAACAATGGGCACACATGGACATACAGAATGGACTAATAGATAGTGGAGACCATAAAACGTGGGAGGGTGAGAGGGAGTTGAGTTGAAAATCTATCTATTGGGATTGTTCACTATTCAGGTGATAGATACACTAAAAGCCCAGACTTCACCATGACATATACATGTAAGAAATCTGCATTTGTACCCCCTAATTATTTTTAAAAAGGTAAATTATACAAAAAGGGAAAAAATAACGAAATACAGATAGGCAAGGACAAACTCCCTATACTCTTGCCACCTCCCAGAAAAATTCAACAGAGGCACAATTATAAAGGGAGTCACTGTTGGATATGCAAGTAAAGTAAGCAGAAAAGAGAAGTTAAGAGAACCCTGTTTATATGTCCTTAATTGTAGAATTTAAGACATTAAGGTGATGATTTAGGGAGCCTTTGTCATAGTATATCAACATTTCAGACATGGAAAACCTAATCAAGCAGTAAAGTTCTATGTATATTTATTGTGTTATGTGCAAATTTAAATTGAGTTAGTGAATTATTTATAAATCTATAACAATACCTTTAAAAGCCTTAATTAAAGTAATTTTATTTTCGTCCTGGTAGTTTTGCTTTAACTGTATTATTTCTTGGCTTTTACATTTCAGGAAAAAAATAAAAATGATGATGGAGGAAGTGACCCAGAAACACAGAAAGAAAAAAGTATTCAGAAACAGAATTCATTAGTTTCAAATGAAGAAAAATCCAAAACTTTTAAGAAATCAAACCCATATGGAGAATGGCAAGAAATTAAACAAGAGGTTGAGTCTCAGTAAGTACCTGGAGCTTTAATCTCACTGTTATTACAAGTGATTTTACATCCCAGTACTTCCCTAAATTGCAGTAAGTAATTTCAAGGATGTTGTGCTTATTAAAAGTATAGCTTGAGGCCAGGTGTGGTGGGTCACGCCTGTAATCCCAGCACTTTGGGAGGCTGAGGTGGGCGGATCACAAGGTCAAGAGATGAGACCATCCTGGCCAACATGGTGGAACCCTGTCTCTACTAAAAATAGAAAAATTAGCTGGGTGTGGTGGCATGTAGCTGTGATCCCAGCTACTCAGGAGGTGGAGGCAGGAGAATCGCTTGAACCCAGGAGGTGGAGGTTGCAGTGAGCTGAGATTGCGCCAGTGGACTCCAGCCTGGCAGCAGAGCAAGACTCCGTCTCAAAAAAGAAAAAAAAAGTATAGCTTGGCCGGGTGAGGTAACTCACACCTGTAATCCCAGCACTTCAGGAGGCCAAGGCAAACAGATCACCTGAGGTCAGGAGTTCGAGACCAGCCTGGCCAACATGGCAAAACTTTCTCTCTACCAAAAAAAAAAACAACTTAGCAGGGAATAGCAGCACACATTGTGTTCCCAGCTACTTGAGAGGCTGAGGTAGGAGGATCACTTGAGCCCAGGAGGTTGAGACTACAGTGAGCCATGTTCACACCACTACACTCCAGCCTGGGCAACGAGGAGTAGGACCTTTCGCAAAAAAAAAAAAAAAAACAGCCGGGGCGCGTGCTCAAGCCTGTCAATCCAGCATTTGGGAGGGCGAGACGAACAGATCACAGGGCATAGGGATCGAGACCATGCCGGCTAACCATGCTGAAAACCCCGTCTCTACTAAAAAAACAACAAAAAAAAAAACTAGGCGGGCACCTCGTAGTCCCAGCTACGCCGGAGGCTGAGGCCAGCCGTAAACACGGAAGGCAGAGCTTGCAGTGAGCTGAGATCCGGCCACTGCACTCCAGCCCAGGTGACAGAGCGAGTCTCCGTCTCAAAAAAAAAAAAAAAAATTGTAAAAAGTAAATAGATAAACAAATATTGCAGCAACTCAAGTATTACTCAGCAAAGTACATTTCTATAGGATTCAGTGTTGCTATTTAGTTTTATAACTTAAAACAGCCTATGATAACTGATAGCAAAGAAGGTCCTTGATGGCCAGGCAGGTGCAGTGGCCCACACCTATAATCCCAGTACCTTAGGAGGCTAAGGCAGGAGGTTCACTTGAGCCCAGGAGTTGGAGGCTGCTGTTAACTATGATGGCACTACTTCACTCCAGCCTGGGAGACAGAGCAAGACCCTGTCTTAAAAAGAAAAAATCCTCGGAATAGACTGCCTTCTGCAGAGCTCCATTCTCCAAATAGGATGATATGTGTTTTTCAACAGGTTTTATGCTCTCAGCTACTTAGAGTTAAACATAACGATCTATCTGGTCCATGTTCCAAAATCTCATAGATGAGACTGATGGGTGTGATGTGACTAACTTGCTCTTTCACGGACCAGTTGACTATCTAGGGAGTACAGTACTGTGATAGGCTCTTTTTAATCAGGTACTGATATCAGGACCACTCAACTGATTATTTATAACTAATCATGTGGATGGTTGAAGGGCTAGTTCTTAGAAAAGGAGTGCTAGGCATACAGCTCCATTCAGTCTTCTACACAAGGAAAATGAGATCTCAATTCACTGCAACCTCTGCCTCCCAGGCTGAAGTGATCCTCTCACCTCAGCCTCTCAAATAGCCAGGACTATAGGCACATGACACCATGCCCAGATAATTTTTGTATTTTTTGTAGCAATGAGGTTTCACCGTGTTACCCAGGCACATCTCGAAACTCCTGAGTTCAAGTGATCCTCCTGCCTCGGCCTCTCAAAGTGCTGGGATTACAAGCGTGGGCCATTGTGCCCAACCGCCTTATCCCTTTACTTGTACTGCTTATATATAAGACCAAGCGTTTTCTTAGATAATGCATCCTTTGTGCAACAGGAATAAATTAATACATAGACCTTCTCCCGGTATTTATCCACCTGAATAAGTGCTCAATATCTTAAATAATATTGTAAAGTCAGTATTTTAAAGTAATTCCTGCTCCAAAATGAGCAACTTCTAATGTATTTTCATTAGAAAGCTGATCTTGGGGCATTGGTTATATGAAAATGTTTGTCTTACCCTGTCAATTACTGGTTTTATTTTAACTCTTTATTTCCAGTGAGGAGGTAGATTTGGAACTTCCAAGCACTGAAAATGAGTATGTGTCAACTTCTGAAGCTGATGGTGGTAGAGAACCCAAAGTGGTATTTAAAGAAAAAACAGTCACTTGTCTTGGAGTTGTGGCAGAAGGAGTGGCCCCAGTCTTCAAAAAGAGAAGAACTGAAAATGGAAAATCTAGGAATTTAAGGCAACGAGGCGATGATCAATAGTTGCAGGAGAGCTTTTTGTATATGCTTTTAGGACAGAATGGAGACTTATACATCCAAAGTTTATCTGTGTTTGTTTGTAAGTACTTTGATGCTAAAAATTTAGATTTATTCTAAATGTATTTGATGTGAATTAAATATTTTTTCATGTGAAATTTATTTTGGTTCCTAAAATGGAAGCCTACCACATTGCATTATAATACAGTGTATTATGTTCTGTGTCTAAAAATTGCTAATTAAGTCATAATTTAAGATGCTATGTATCTGTTATTGAAAACATGGAGAAACAGGGCCTTTATTCCATTGGTATTCATATGAACATATTTATCCTGCATTGAAAATGCATTACTTTTGCACATTGATGTTAACTGTTGTCCAAATAAGTATCAGAGTACATGAGAAGATTCACAGCCCAGTGATGATTTGGTTCTGAGGCTGATGTAAAAAATGAATGCATATTGGCTTACCTTACTCAATTTAAAGTCAAAAGCCAACAACCAGGAGCAGCTCAGGTACTTCAGAGGTGCTTAATAATGGAGTGAAAACTGGACCAGAGGTGGAAATGTATATTTGCCCCAGTTCACTTCAAAGCAGCAAACGTTTAAGCATTTTACTTTGAACCAGGCATTGTGTTAGGAATCCAGGGATAAAGATGAATGAAATGTATTTCTATTCTTCAGTAGTTCACATTCTAGCATATTCCTTTTTTCCCCCAGTCATGCACTCTTTTTAGCAGCCTTATATGTACTAGAAAAGATTTTTTAAGGTTTATTTAAAGCTGTGTAGATGAAGACTTGATCTAAAATAGTATAAGGTCTCCGGCTTCAGTAAAAGTTTTTAGTGTTTACTTAAATTAGTAATTTATCACTTTCTGTCTGGTTAAAATGTCTTAGTAAAATTTTCTTATTTAATCCATTTAGTAATTACCTCCTTTTTATTTTTCAAATTCACAAAATTATATTTCTCATAAATTGTATAGTATTTAACTTTTGATAGTTAGTATTTGTCTTTTTAAGATTACTAGTGTACATGTAAAAAAATACTTATTAAAAACTTTGTCAAAGAATAAGTTAAGTATTGTTGTTATTCTAATTCCAGTCAGAATCAACTTAGCATTGGTGAGATAGTATTTGGAGATTTGTCTTTGCATTTTTTCAGTCTACTTTTTGGGTATCTTATGAATGTGAAAGCCTAAACTTTCCCCTTCATTAGGAAGAGATATTTTATAGTTCTTGATAGCCCATTCATTATCTAGCTGAGCAGTGCATTTTGGGGCTTCACTCTTCTCAGCTGGAAAAAATAATGGACTGTAAATGCAGTGCTCCTATACTTTACCCACATTTAGCTCTTAAAAAATACAAAATTGAAGGCATTTTTTAAAATTAGACCTCGTGTAAACTTTCTCTTTGATGATTTTTAAAACAATCTCCTTTACTTTTGAAATTAGTATTCTCAAAAACTGAAAGCAAGGTAAATGTCCTTAAACAGTATGGTTTTAAGGATTGCTCAGAAAAGACTTGATAATAACAACAATATTTTAGTAAATCAAATCATGAAAAATAGTAATATTCCGTCTGCTTTGGAGGAATAGAGAACATAACAGCTTTTAACTTGGATGTTTTTGTAAGTGATATCATTTCTACTATTACCTTTCTGTATTTATATATGTATATATAATATATATATACTTGTAGATCATGAAAGTATTTTTTTAATAAATATAAAAATCCAAATAATAGAGAAATAAGTTTTTAGGAAATCTCAGTAATCTCTCAACCCCTCTCCATGACCACTGTGGGGTTTTCCATTTTTCTCAACATAACTGGGTATATATGGGTAACCCTTATGACATCTGGACCTATGAGGTTCACTATCTGGATGAAACCATATTCAGAGAAACATCCAAACAACCAAAAGTAGTTTTTGTTTTTTTAATGAAGTTTTTTATATATTCCAAGAACTGTACTAGGGGAATCAACCCTACCAGATATTTATGTATTAAAAATCTACAAGATACAATAAAGGCCGGGGATGGTGGCTCATGCCTGTAATCCCAGAACTTTGGAAGACCAAGGCAGGCAGATTGCTTGAGTCCAGGAGTTCGAGACCAGCCTGGGCAACAGGGCAAAACCCCATCTCTGCTACTAAAAATAGAAAAAGTTAGCTGGACTTGGTGGCATGCGCCTGTGGTCCCGGCTACTCGGGAGACTGAGGGAGAATCACCTGGTCCCAGGAAGTCAAGGCTACAGTGAGTCATGAACATGCCACTGCACTCCAGCCTGGGCCGCAAGAGGGAGACTCTTGCCTTAAAATACTTGCTCACATTTATGCACATTATGTATAAACTAGTTTGTTTCTGGATTTATTTTATTATGCCAGTACCACACTGATTTAATTACTGTGTTTTTATAGTCTGTTTTAACTTCTGGTACAGCACATATCCTTATGTTACTTCATACTTGAACTACTTTTTCGAGATGTTCATAGTAAATATCCACTCATTATATCAAATAACTTTTTGTCAAGTTGTTTTCCCTGCTCCCCTCAAAAGAACTGTGATTTTGTGCTACATTTGAGTTGATAATAATTGCCATCTTTCTGACATTCATTCATCTTCTCTCTCAACATGTGTTGTCTTTTCATTTAGTTCTTTCATGTCTTTCTGAAGTTACGTAGTTTTCTCCATATGGGCCCCGCACATTTCTTGAAATGTAAGCTCCCAGGGCCAGGTGCAGTGGCTCACGCCAGTAATCCCAGCACTCCGGGAGGCTGAGGTGGCGGATCACGAGGTCAGGAGTTCGAGACCAGCCTGGCCAATATGGTGAAACCCCATCTCTACTAAAAATACAAAAATTAGCCAGGCATGATGGCACGTGCCTGTAGTCCCAACTACTCAGGAGGCTGAAGCATGAAAATCACTTGAACCCAGGAGGCAGAGGTTGCAGCGAGCCGAGAACATGCCACTGATTGACCTGGGTGACAGGGTGAGGTGACTCCATCTCGGAAAGAAAAAAGAAATGTAAGCTCCCTGAAGGCAAGAGCTTTGTTTTGTTCACTTAATTTCCTGTACTTTGATGTTTTGACATCTTAAAAAGCTTGTTGGCCTGGAAGTGGACACCTCTCCCAGGGCTAGTCCCTTCTTAGAGATAACTGAGGGCTCCCTAGAGCACTCTTTGTTATGCAAACCAACTAATCCCTAATCTATAGTCACACCCACCTGGTCTAATTCACACATCAGGCCAGTATTTCCTCTGCCCTAAATCATCCCAGGGCCAGATACCAGCCAACTAGAGACCACTCCTATAGCTAGCCCAAAGCCTGCCAGAATTATATTAGCCAATCCTAAACAGTTTACTTTGCCCTGCTTTGACTTTCCCATGGAAACCACAATGAAGGCTCTGGGCTAGACTTTCCCTGCTATCCTGTCTTACACTACCTAACCAAAACGTGGTGCTTCCTCTGAGGCCCTGCATGGCACATGATGACCCCTTCTTTAGGACCTGTGAGTATAATAAACTTCTTCCTTCCAAGCCTCAATCAATATCATCTCCTTCTGTGGCCAAACTAACTTTACCATACCATATCCAACATTTACATTCTTAGAACAGTATAAACTTATATAACCTCTTCAGAGAGCAATTTTTCAATAGGTCAAAATGTAAAAGCACCTATCTGTTGACCTTGCAATACCACTTGAAGAAATATTTCCTATAGATACTCTCACACATGTAAGAAATGACATGTAAGACTAATAAATGTGACATTATTTCTAAATCAGATTGGAAACAACCTTAAGGTCTATCAGGGCAAAACTGGTTAAATTAATTATGCTACATCTAGTCATTAATCATGCTACATCTAGTCAGTGCAATGGTGTACAGCTGTTAAAAGAAAGGAACTTTATAGGTACTTACATGGATTGATCTCCAGGATACATTGTTAGGTCAAAGAAGCAAAATCCAGAAAAGGAAAAATAGTGCATTGGTTAAATCAGAAGTTCTAGTACCAATCATTGCCATTCCCTCTTTTGCTACCTAATAGCTTGTAAGATTGGGCAAGTTATTCTATCTCTGTATGTCTTCCTTTTCTTATTTGTAAAGCAGTAAGTGTACCTACCTCCCAGCTTTGTTTTAAGGAGTGAATGACTTAATGTGTATTTAAAGCACTGGTTTATAATGATACTAGCTAAGATTTTGAGTTGTTGCTATGTGACAGGCATTGTAACATAGCAACAACTCAAAATCTTGGTATCATTTGTGTAAAAAAAAAAAATAGACAAAACGTAAAATAAAAACACTAAACAGCATCTACTTTCTAGCCATTAGCACCGTGACTCATTCCTTTTTCTCTTCCCAAACTCTCATCTTACACAACTCCAAAGGCCAATTATTGCAATTTAGATATTCTCTAAATAGCTTGATATTCTGTGTGGTTTCTTTTGTAAATCAAACAAAGCTCTTGATTTTTTATTCTCAGGCTAAAATAGCTTAAAATTAATTCATTGGAGATGGATGATGTGATGGTTATACAACAGTGTGAATGTACTTAATGTCACTCAACAGTACATTAAAAATTGTTAAGGCCAGGCACAGTGGCTCATGCCTGTAATCCTAGCATTTGGGAAGGCTGAGGTGGGAGAATCCCGGCTTGTAGCTTAGGATTCCCGGGACCAGCGCCTGGGCAGCCATCGCAGGCCCCGACCTGGTCCCTACGGGGAAACACAACCATACTATATATAGGTAATCAATATAATCAACTTTTTAACATATATACGCGGTAGTACCCTAGTTTATATAGTCAGATCACTATACACATTTATCTATATTATCGCGGCCATATTATATTCTTTATATACTTATACTCAATACTATACTATAGTTTCCATTTTATTTACTATACACTTAATTTCATTTAATTTTATTAACTTTACCTTTAATTGTAATTTCATGTGACAGAATAATATAAACATATACCCTTGGCAGAAAGAATAAAAAATAAGTAAATATAAAATATAATACTTTACTATCCGTTTAACTTTAATGTTAAATAGTGAAATCTTAACTTTGTTTTATTAATTTAATTTATATACGGAAACCTGGAATTATGATACCGAAAATATATATTTATACTAATAGCTATAAGTCATAAGTTAGAAAATTAGAATTGGAGTTAAATGCTTAGCAGTTAATATTAAACAGTTGATATCTGGGAGCACACCATATTACTCGGTGTATGCTGTTATACCTATGCATGTATGCTATAGCTGGCAGGTGCTTAGTTTGCTGACATGAGTTTTCACCACCAAACAGAAAACAGCACTGCGGGCGAGAGTTTCCGCACATTGTATCTGTGCATCAGTCACGCGTTCCTCGCCTTTGGCTAGACAATCATCAACGCTTTGGTAAGAACGTTATTCATGGCCACCCTTCCTGTGATCTGGTAGTGTCAATCTTTGTTTTGGTTTTTTTTGAGGCGAGCGGAGTGCTCACGTATCACGGCGGGGCGGGGGCCAGCGCAGAGTATCAGTGGCGTGATCAGCAGGCTCACTGCAAACGCCTCGACGCTGCTGGGCCTCAAGTGATTTTCCTTACCCTCTGCCTCCGCAACGACGTTATTCTGGGACTACAGGCCATAGCGAGCCGCATCCGGCACACACCCTGTCTGGTTCTTTTGTTTTTTTTTTTTTTCTGTAGAGACAGGCGTCTCACTATGTTGCCCAGGCTGGTCTTGAACTTCTGAGCTAAAGCGATCCTCCTGCCTCAGCCTCCAAAAATGCTAGGATTATGTGCATTAGCCACTGCACCCAGCCTAGTACTTTTTTTTTTTAATTGTAAATTCACTGGCCTAGTTTAAGCCATCTTCACTTCAAGCCGAGAATACTACTGCACTCCCAACTTTTGCTATTCTAGCTCATCCTTCACAGAACCAACGGAATAATCTTCCATGGTAAACCTCTGCAAATTTCCCTCCTCCACTAATCTCAATATTTCAAATCTATTAGCATTTAAGACTTTCATCTCATTTCTCAAAACAGGCTACTTATCTCTCTTTTAATTGGTTATTTCTACG